GAGTACTTATAGACGAGATATTGTGGAAAGCACTTATCTTATAAATGTGACACGATAGTAGTAAAAAAGAAGCTGCTAATGAGTCCCGCTATCATCGGTTAAAGATGTTTTTGGATGGGAGACAAGGAATCGTTTCGATGTGAAGCATCCTCTTTCTCTCTTCAGTAAGGGAAAATGCGATTCCAAAAGTTGTGTTGTCCTAATCAGGAAAAAATTCACACAGGCGCAGCCCCTAAAGATGCAGAGAACCAACATTAGTTGTTTCTTATGATTAGTGATGTTCTAAATAAACTGAAAGGAAATGTAATAGTTTCACCAACGTGGAAATGTCAAGAGACGCTGTTTTTACTCTATGGACTAAGGTTTTTGTATCACGTAATCATGGCCTTCTTGGCTTTAGTTTTTGCCAGGATTACAAGAAGAGTAGAACCACCTAATGAAATAATTAGCACCTGAATTCCCATTTGATGCATAAAATATAGAAAAGATCTGGACTATTTGTGCTCTCAGGTCTATGATGAATGCTTTTCAAGCTTATTCATCAAGGGAAAAGAGTCTCCTCCCCCTATGTTTGATAAGCACACGATCAGATTCTTTAATGAGAGAGAGAGAGACTAACACTTCTCTTTTAATTAAAGATAGTACTGTATAGATTTACTGCTAAGCTCTAGTGCAGTTATAATTAAGGGGTAAAACTGTAATGAAATTAAAGTGGCAAAATTGAAGGATTGCCAAAGTACACTTTCGTGATTATGTGTAATGTACAGGGAGTATTTGTTAGGTGTTTGCCATAATTTTCTTATCATATTTGGTTTTCTTATTTGTTGAAGGAAAGGGCAACATGTTTACCTTAATTGGGTTTTCCTTCTTGTAGAAGAAAATTATTAATCTTCCATATTTGGCTAGTCCCTTTTCTTGTGGGAAAATGTTTGGAGTTCTATAAATTGAGGATCCTTCCTTCTCACTCATTAGCATCCACAATGTAGTCATATGGGGTTTGAGAGTTGTGTTTAGGGAGAGAACTTTACGGGACAAGTGTTAGTGTGTCACTTGTGTTTGCCTCTTCGTGAGGTTGTTCTCTCGATATTTTGTACTCTCTTTTTATATAGTGGATTGCTCATCTCCGCCGTGGATGTAGGTCAGTTGATCGAACCACATTATATGTTTGTGTCTCATTTGGTATATTTCTCTTTGTTGTATGATTTATCGTCGTTCAAGGTTTGCTTTGCTAGCTTCCGCATGATACCTCGTTTTTTTTGTCATAACAGTATTTGCGTAAGGAGTGGCCTTTCGGCTACATGAAACTTTGCTTCAAAACTCCTCCAACTAATTAACCTTTTCATCTCACCCCCAACGGTCTGATGTAACCTTTAGCATATTTGTCTTTTGCCTTTAATTAACCCTGAGACAAAAGGGCCAATTATAAAGGGTATCCCTTCTTAATTGTTTCCTTTACAGCACCCTAGCTCTCCTCTTGGGGAAAATATGGCCAGTGACAAAGCAGAAATATGTGAAGTTTCTGAAACGTACAAGAGCTGCCAAGAGGAATGTTATGATGATGGGGAGAGGAGGCATCAGCAAGAATATGATGAAGAGAGCTGCAGGGTGGAGGTGGAGCACCGGTCCATGGGTAAAGCACTGGCACATAGAGCCATATATGGTTCAACTAGCCGCCGAGGAAGGTCAGCCAGAAACCTGAGAAACGTTAACTATCTGATTAAGACATTACCCAGCAGGCTAAGCAAAGTCTCCTTGGCTGACCAACCTCAACACAACTAGACTCTTAGCTTAATTTGCTTTAGGCCTCCAAGTACCCCTTTAATTTGATGCCATTATTATCATTTCTTAGTCATATCTGTATCCTGTCACTATTGTGGTTAAACCGAGTAACTAATGTAAATGTTACAAACCGCACATTTTATATTTATATATTGCTACACCTGTAAATGTTAAAAACCGAGTACAAGCGAGTTTAGACCATCTTTTGATTGCCCATTGTTGATATGTACTTTTGTATTGAGTACTTTGTAACCAGACATTAATTTGCATAATTTGGAATCTCCGAAAGATTACCTGTATCTTGGGAGCAGTTCAAACATATAATAATCAATCTAGCTCCAACCGTTGTTTACCTTTTCGTTATTTCTTTTCGCCCTGACCACAGCATTACCTCTCTATATTCTCCAATGAGAATTCCAACTTCCAAGATTAACTTTGACCAATACATTTCCGAAAGAATTAGTGAGTCTGATAGGTTCTGTCTTTTGTAGGCAATAATACGCAGTGAGTCTGATAGGTTCTGCCTTTTGGAGGCAATAATAGCCAGAGGGTGCCGTTTATAGTCCCAATATGAGTTAGACTGCTCTATGGGCAGCGCATAACCTCTTTGTAAGTCATGTTGAGCGCACAATAGAGTTGGAGGCTTGAAATTAAATATGCGACTTACTTTCTATCTTTGGAAACATTAAACACCTCAGTGCCATTAATTTATTGTCTTAGTTTAATTAAGAATGGCCTCATTCCCGGGAATGATCAAAATTTGCAGCAATATTTTCGATTTTCCCATGAAAAATCGGCAGAAACAGCCAAGCCAGACAACATTATATCAACGTTACTTGATAGGCATGGTTACTAGTGTCTCACTTGTAAGTTCGTTCTAATTGAATGTGAATGTCATGGTTTAGAGTTACCATTTTCTGCGTCTAAGTTAATATAGCTCATCAATTATCATCGATCACATGATTTATGGAAATAATCAACCACCAATTTTATTCCATTCGCAGAACTTTATGCAAGCGATATATATTCTACAGCAATAATTCGACTTATAAGTGAATTTGGGTCTGGACTACGTGATGATTTTAAGATTCTTGTACCAATTATAGATTTTTCAAGTGGATGTAGTATATGTACATAACGAGAAAAAATATATAGACACAAGATATTCTTCTTATGAATCAGTGTCGGAAGACACAATTTAATTTATTAAAAATTGTCTCCAACACTGCGCGCTTAAGTACTTATCACAATGTAATTGTTCTTCATAGACAGAACCAAGTTGTTATTCTTAACAATGATTCATGTGTGGCGTACTACAGAAAAAGATTTTTAAAAATATAGCTGGCGATGGGCCAAGGCAAGTGGATTCGGTTTAGTGGCAGATCACAAAATAGAAATTAATTAAGAAACGACGACTGACCTTGCGTCGGGAGCTAATGAGGGAAAAGCTCAAGGACATGAAGACAAGGCAGAAATGTCTACAACTAGTGATCAAATATATAACGCCTTAACTCAAAGTACACCCTAAGAATACAGAAAATTTTGCAGTAAATTAAAGCAAGATATATAAAATGAACTGGCTATAGAATACTCATTCCTTGTTACGTTCCTCTTGTCTTTGTATATATAGCAATTCATACATATATTTCGCCTGCATATAATAGAATACATATAAGAAATCTTATGATGAATGCTTTATTTATTAGTCTGTTCTTCGATCATCCTTTGGTGACTCTTTCATATAACATGTATATAATTGGACTAATAAATGCATGCACGTCGATCATTCATGAGCCAGCCGCGGGCGTGCATGCATAAAAAGTCCACGTATGTATAGCCTTATTTATTCTTGACCTTGTTTCTATTTTCTTTTTTTTCATTGTGTTTGAGTTAAATACTTAATTGAATTGGCCGCTCATTGAGTCAATGTTTTGACGCCTCATCTGTTGGTAAAACTGAAGGATGAACTCCTCGGCCTTGGCATCGATCATGTCGTCAGCACCAATAGCATCGAAGACCTGGTCAGGATCCTCTTCTTCCTCCTCGTCATCGAGTTCTTGGAGATTGTTTGCGGAAGCATACTGGCTCATGGTGCCAGAGGAAGTTGAGGCCTCCAGTGCTTGGAGATCGTTTGCTGAAGCGTACTGGCTCATGCTGTCGGTAATTGAGGGTGCAGCAGCAGGGACATCCAGTGCTTGGAGATCATTTGCCGAAGCATACTGGCTCATGGTTCCGCTACACGACAGAGCTGAGGGCGATGCGGTGGCACAGTAGTCGTAGGCCGTCTGGGACGGCGTACGACTATTGTTGTCCTGGAGATGCAGAGGTCGCATGGACCCCACCAGCTTCTTCCAATCTCCCTTGGTGGATGATACAGCTACCTGAGCTGCTTTCTGCTTTCCTTTTGTACCATGGCGCAACACGAACATTGCAGCTTTGAACAAGCCAAATACACCTGGCTTCTTCTTCTTCTTCTTCCTCATTACGTCATCGGTAAGCCTCTCTCCGTTATTAATGACGCCGTTAGGCTGCAGGGGTTGTTCGACGACATCATTGCGGGTGTCAATATTGTAATTGGAAATTATAGACGCTTGGGATCTGCTGTTGTCGTTGTCAGTTGCTGTGATGGTGAATACGCCTTCCGTCATTCTTCGGAAGAGCTTTTTCCTGTTAGTGAGGGTTAAAAACGGCGACAATACAATTACCTCCCCTGCAAAATGCAGGTGGAGTTATGGAAAAAGATTTTGGGTGCAATTACAAGTGTTCTTATGCTATATATAGGAGGGCCAAAAGGAACCTAGCTAGAATTTCTATGTTGATCCTGGCGTTACTGTTTTGTTGGACAGTTTTACCATTCAATTTAAGCTTGCAAGTACAGAAATGACCGTGCATGCACATTTGTCATAAAAACAACCACAATAATTATTG